TGAACATTTAGCTATTATAAACCTGTGCTAATAAAACTGTAGGAAAAAAGAAATTTTTCTGCAATTTTGAATCCTTTCTGCTCTGTGAACTAGTGCTTCTACAATGGGATATTTTATTACATGAATCCTCTTAGGGCATGATTATTGCATTGAGAAGTAAGCTTGATGAATCCATGTATGACAATAATCTAAAAGAGCCAATCTAAGATGACAGAAGCTTTTGACTATAAATTAGAATCTTATCTATGGGTGCACAAAAGCTGATGATTTATATACCACTGTACTATGCTTCTAAATCACATCTAAGTTTTCCAAGAGATTTCAAAAATAACTCACTGGCAACAAGCAGAGAGTGAAGGATCAACTGTTGGGACTGCTGTAGTGGCAAAGGCCCTCAGGAGGAGTTTTGTCATAAAGCAGCTACAGGTTCCTGGGTTAGTTATTTAAACTTTATGGTTCCAGTTTGTTTCTTTTATTAAATCAATACTACTAGACAATTAGATCTGAGTTTACCTGTAGTTGTATGTCTTTATCCCTGGAAAATATGGGAAATAGTCACGCTTTTTATTTTGAATGGTTCTTAAATAAACATACCCACATAAATAACAAGATTTAGTTGTGGCTGTCCTTTAGGTAAATGTTACAAAGGGAATGAATGTACTTCTCTACCTTGAAGGATGTGGGAGCCAGACAAGACACAGCCCTATATGCCAGCCCAATCAATTGTGCACTTCCTGTGCCACCCACACGGTTCCTCTGGCTGCTTCTGTAACCTGACAAATCACTCCAATTCCCTGCACAGCACTATCGGCTCTCTCTTCCCACACATGCACTATAGGGAAGATTATAAATAAATCCTATATTCCTATGACAGCACCATGAACAGGCCTGTGTGTTTTCTGGGACTAATTGCTTAGGGAAAGCCAATACTCTAGAGCAAGTCTCATTCCAGTCTACATGGTAATTACATGCTAATGCCTTTTGAAATTAATTCAGACCCCCCTCCCATCCCCCGCCCTACTAGCATTGCAGTAAAGGGCAGAGAAGCTGAGACTTAATCACATTGTCTTCTGGGAGTTTAATGTAAGATTTCTTTTCTACATGAACTGGGCCATCGATCGACAGAACTCGCTGACTGCTCTTCCACTCTAACAATGCGGTCCCACAGCAACAAAACTGCTGGCAGACGTTCTGCCAAAAATCAGTCACCCACAGGGCTCTAGCGCAGAAGCACAGTTTCCAACTTCAAAGAAGCCACAATGTATATTCCACCAGTCTCTTTTCCACCTCCTATAAATTAGCCTCAGCTTAGGGCTTAGAACAACTCAGATCAACTATAAATAAAAGGAGGCTGTGAGCAAGTAACAACATAACAACAACAAAGCAATAATGAGAAGTAATATGAGCAAATGGTAGAGCTGTAAAAATAATTAAGACAGGGATAACTTGACCTCAATTGAGGAGAGAAACCACAAAAATAAATGGAGCGTGGGTGGATAAGCAAATACACAGATGTGGTCTAACCTGGAAATCTAGTAAGCACAATCTAAAAACCCACTGTGCACGCCTCCCACAGAATGCAGTGTCCTCGACCATCTAACACACGGCGACAGCCAAGGAGCTGCTGCTGCAACGCTGGCTTCACCTTCCCTGGCACTCACCACGCCATCAATGTCTCATTCTCAGTCCAGCAGCACCTGGGTCGCCTATCATGCTATAGACAAATTCCTCACATGTCAGAGAGGAATGATTGAAATTTTTTCTCAGCTATAAAAAGAAACCAGGGAAATGTTTTCCACAGGAATTTTCCCCCCGTCATCCCTGACCCAGAGGTGAAAGTCACATGAGAAGATGGCTCTAACTGCCCAAGAATCCAGCATGCGCATTTTTTCATTCTCTGTGCTTTCCAAGGCTCTTGCACGGGGCTACTGATGGCTTCCCTCTGGGACATCTCTTCAGGGACAAGTGCATGACTACAAACAGACCAAAAAGAAGGGAAACACACAAATCCATGCAAAATATTATTTCATAAACATCAGCTGAAATGCACTAAGGTATTCGATGCGCCAGATACTGTGTGAAACCTGATGCCACCTTCTCGTTGAGTCTCATCACAGCCTCGGAGGCTGCTGCTGTACAACCAGGAGACGCAGGCTCGGTGAGAGCAGGTGCCGCGGACTGTGCACCACGTGAAATCACTACCTTGCTCACGCGCTGGCTCCACATGACAGAGGCGCAGGGAGACGCTGGCTGAGTGAATGAATGCTTTCCATTGGATCAAGAAGGGAACTGAGGGTTAGAGAAGATAACGAACTAACCAGAGACGAGGGATGCTAGAATGTGTTCCAACATATTTTTATCTTTTTTTTAAACAAGAGAAATTGAGGGGAGAGGAGAGGGATTAATTTATTGCATGTTTAACTTTCTTTCTCTTTTTATTTTTGAATGAAGATTAGAGTTGCTAAAGAGCAACAAAAGGGCCCAAATTCAGAAAGTCAAAGGAAGGAATCAGAGGGGTCCAATATGGCAATTTGTTAATATTCTTTTTCACCCAGGAGAGCGCCTCTAGCCTAGAACAGTTATCTGAAGTTTCTGTCTGTGAGGGAGGAAATACGATCCAAATAACAGTCAGCTATGTGCCAGGTACTCTGTTAAACTTCTAAAATGAACCTAATAACTGAAAAAAATTGATATAAGTTAAAGTAGGTCTTCGAAGTCCAGTGTTCAATGCCCTGTACACAGTGTTGGCTTTTGTGCATGGCCTGTGAATCACTCTCATTACTCTGCTGCATAGCTCGTTTGTTAACCAGTATCTAATAAGATGTCAGACAGAGAAATAAATAAAACACCAGTGCTCCTGTTGGTCTGGATCCCACGGGCCTTTCCCTTGTCTTAATAAGATAGAGAGAATAGAACTAGAATTTTCATGTTCTAAATTATAGCCTTTGTTCGGAACATTTCCATTTAGCATGCAAGACAGATACTCTGTGTCTAGGTATGTATAACACAACAAAGTGACTAAAGAGCCATGATTTCCTAAAGTATAGAGATCATAAATCAGAATTCTCCTGTATCTAAACAAGTGGGTTTTGGTTGAAATACAATGGGGAACAGTGTACTTCAAGTGGGTAGAGGATGGATTTTTTTTTTTAAATGAATCTTTATTGATTTCAGAGAGAGAAAAGGAGAGGGAGAGGGAGAGATAGAAACATCAATGATGAGAGAGTCATTGATCAGCTGCCTCCTGCACGCCCCTGACCGGGGATCAAAGCCCGCAACTCGGGCATGTGCCCGGACCGGGAATCGAACCCTGATCGCCTGGATCCCAGGCCGATGCTCAACCGCTGAGCCACGCCCGGCCGGGCTAGAGCATGGATTTTAGAGTCTGGTACACCTGGGTTCTTACTGAAACTTAATAACTTAGTTCTGTAATATTAGGCAAGTTACTTATACAGTTTTCTTATCCATAAAATGGTGATAATAACAGTACTTACCACGTAGGGCTCTTAAGAATATGGAACATGAATGTGTGAGTGCAAAGGAAGAGTGTTAGTAATAACTCAGTAAATTAGCTTTTGCTTTCAGTATTACTACCACCACTACCACTTTGTCTCATCTCTGAAGAAGTCCCTAAACATCAGCCAAAGGAAATAAGCTTGAAGCAATGAGTTTTATTAATTAATACAGATAGTCACCTTTGATTTTTATTTAATGATTATGCTTGGCAGTGCTACCCAACATGGGTCACTTTCATGATGCTTTATGACAACAGAGGAAGAAAAGAAAAGTAATTCTAGAAGTGACATTTTTGTGGAAACAGGACATAAATGGGGAGAAACTACCAGGGTTGGAAGAGAGGGGGGATACTTATGGTCTCACAGTTGTGTCTGACCAGCTTTGGCTGTAGAAATTGTTGGGCATGTCAAATTGTGGAAGACTGTGAATTGTATTCCGAGTCAGAATCAGAAGAGGAAATTGTACAGCAAGTCCTCATTTTAAGTAAGCAGTCTGACACTTGGTGCCTCTGTGATTTAATTCCCCTTAATGTCCAAGTATTGGAGCATTTCATCCAGGAGGCCTAGAGCACACTGGTTAACAAAGAGCTAAGTCAAACCAAGTGCCAGTAAAAGAGGTTGCTGTGTTTGATACTGAGTATATTAGCTGTTGTCATTATTATATTTTTTGTTTTGTAATGCAACAATCTTGACATGTCTGTTTCTCCCTCTAGACTAAGAGCTATTTGAATGAACTGGGTGTATTCATTAATTTTTCTGTGTCCGGTTCTAAGAGACTCAAAAAATATTAGCTGAACGAGTGAGTAATTAAACAAGCAAATGAATATCAAACTAAGATAAACTCGGAACAGAAACACTAACTTTAAGTTTAGGAAAATAATAACCTTTCAGTTTATTGATGAAATCATCAAAAGAGTAATTATCAGAGCATCAGTCATCTCCTTAGCTTCTTTTATCTCCACCCTGTTCCTAAATAAGGAACTTATGTGGCCTTAACCTACATCATCAACTTCACAGTTATTAACCATTCCTTGACAATCAGATCACAAGGCCTCATTGGCTGTAGCACTTTCCCAAAAAATTAAACGATAACAACAACAACGAAAACAAATGTCATACTTATGGTTAATTCAAAACCCAGAGAATTTTGATAAATACTAACAATATTAGATTAATACATAATCAAATTAGTTTTGAAATTTTCTAAATTAATATTAAAAACAAGCCTTATTCTTTTAATATGTTTCCATGAGATTTTACTTAAGGGCTCCTAAATTATTTTGAGAGATTAGTTTTTACTCAAGCAGCAAATAACATTTGCAAGCAACAATATGGTCTTTATTTTTATTTTGAAAAATGATTTTCAAAAATAGTTGAAAAAATATAATTTGTCGACATCCTTCCCCTTCACCTCATTTTATTGTACACTATCCCCTGGACCCCTTCGCCTTACTAGAAGAAAAATAAAAAATCTATGCGCCTTACCTCTAACAGTTCATCTCCAATACGCAGTCGCCCGTCCGTGGCAGCAGGTCCTTCCGGGTTAATTCCCACCACAAATATGCTCATGCGCGACCGGTCTTTGTTGCCAGCGAGGCTGAGTCCAAGTCCATTCTTATCCTTTTCAAGTTCAATAATGTGCAGTTCTCCAGGCAGATCTGCATATCTTTGCCTGATTTTTTCTATTAAAAAAAAAGATAAAGAGAAATTTAAATAGAGCAGTTGAATTTATATTACAGAGATGTCAGCATTTCCCTATCCATATTGTGATTCCTCTACAATAAGTGGTCCCTTAATATGTGCAATATATGCCTGTTGAAATTATAAAAGAACGTTTCTAAGGTTTCCTTCAATTGCTACCCTATGCTATTGAACTAATGCCCCAACCAATGAGACAAAAAAGTGACAGAGATCTAAAAGCATTAGATACAAAATTTTTTTCAGAGACAATGCATTTTTTCAGTTCAAAGAAGTAGAAGAATGGTTTCTTCTTTAGATTTGTATTGAAAAGGAACAAAATCCATTAGGACTATTAGAAAAACAAATAACAAAGTGTACATTAACTTTTAAAATCGACTCTATTAAACTGAAGAAACTTGAAAAGCAAAAAGGTTTATACTTTATCATTTTTTCAATGCATCATAAAACAGGAAGAGTAATAAGGCAGTAAAAGTGTCAAATGCTTTATAACACATATGCCCTTTAATCTTCAGTTAAATTTTTATTGTTAAGATTTTCAGGCCTCAATCTGAATTATCCTGCAGTTTTTATTTAGACTCATAACTAGAAGGGGCTTAAAAGATGACAAGACCAACTCCTATACAAATTAAATGCTATATTTTCTCCATATCATGGAATCAGAGACTTTTAATTCAGATATAATAAACCAAGAAATCATGTTAAGTTACCTTCTCTTAAAGCACCCCCTTACCTCGGACTCTATTTCACAAAGAAAAAACTAAGACTGTAAAAGGAAGATCCTGTATAAGGTTAAGACCTAATTTATAGCTAGAAACTAATGTCTTCTAATATGTAGTTCAATTCCTTTTGTATCAAATCATGTTGAATTTCTCCAGTAACAATTTTAAAAGATAAAAATAACTTCAAATTTCTCCCTTAAAGAAGCTATCTTTAGAATCATCATCATAACTCTTTATATAAAATAAATATTTCACAGTTCATCATGTCATTGAATCCTCCCACACCTTTGTAAACACCTCAAAATGCAGGTGAGTGGACTTATACTTAGGGAAGTGAGGTGATTTGGCCAGTGTTTGGGTCCAAGTGCTGTGCTCTCTTCATCACATCACAGCTCTCACTTAGACCAGTAGAATTTTTAATAATAAGAGGCTCCCTTAAGGGAGCTGAAACAATGGTTCCCAAGCTTAGTTTGCTTAGATCATCCGCCAGGCAGGATACCTAAAAATCACCCGAAGAGCCTATAAATTAAAATTGCAACTAGGCGCCACCAGCTGAGATTCTGAACCAGTACGGTTGGGGTAAGGTTTGGGAATGGGGTTAAGTTCTCTTTGTAACAAGGTCCTTAGATGATTTGCATGGGCAGTTATATCTGTATATAACAGCTTAATCTCCCATGCAATGCAAAAATTTTTTCTAGAGCAATCATGACAGTCAAACATAAAGTTCAGAGACAACCAAAATTTAAGGCAGGCTTTAAATATGCTGTTCACAAAACTAATCTAATATGAAGATTATCTCTGGCTCCATAATCATGCTCAGGATTAAATAAGAAATTTGTTTTGATTATACAGTACAATAGATTACTTTAAAATCTCAATCTCAATCTTTTTCCCTCTCTCTCCTACCCTCCCACTTATTGCTGCCTCCTTCCCTCTCAAATCTCAGAAGTTCCTTGTAATTTCCATTACCAATTACTTCTACTCTGTAGGTATAGTAAAAGGTGAACTAGAACTTCAAAACAAGAGAAGGAAAACAGAGTTAGTGTCGGGGCGGGGGAAGCAGAACTGAACTCCCATCTTTGAAAAATCAAGACACCGCATGCTAGTTTGTTAACTCAGGATTTAAGAAAGAAATCACAGTATAGCTCCTCCTGTGTACAGCTGAGTCAGCACAAACTGTTCTACAGCATCAGACATGTGGCTCCACCACAGGGGAACCCACGCTGCCTGCCTGGCACCTGCTCTAAGGGCTGCTGTGAGCTGTTTCCATGGCAGCCAGTGGGCAGGGAAGGGGCTATGTGGGAAGAAAACGTGTAAGGAAAGCAGTTTTCTTAAAACATTTCAATTTCACTAAAAATGCATTAAAGAGGTGGGATAAAGAATATTTGAGGCCAATGGGGCTCTCCTCTAAAATTAAGAAAAATAAAATCCAAAGAAACCATACTTTGTTTCCTGCGTGCACGCACACAAACACACACACATACACACACCCCCTTACATAACTACAAGATTTTTAGCAACAAAATATTAAAAGTGTTATAATGATCCAGGATCTTACTATACCTATTACTGGTATTCCCAAGAAGTATTTGTAATAAACAGCCAATCTTTATACTGATTTTCACTGACTTTCACAATGTGTAATTAAGTGAAGGCAGTGCCTATCCCAAATAATCTAGATGCCCTTCCACTTCTAAATAAAACCCAGAGATTAGGAGATAAGTAATCTACTTCTTTTGGCACCAGCCTTTACTTCAGTGCCCAGAATGAACATCAGCCTGGAATAACTGGAGAGAAAATAGTCTTTTGTCTCAGCTGAACAGTTATGGTTGTTTTAAACATGGATTTTCTAGCCCCATGACAATGTTACCTGAAGAAAGGAATCCCAAATTGCTCATAATTCTGTATCAAAGTACCGATGCCTTTTCCTTGTCCAAGAAAGCCAATAAAATTTCTCCACTATGGTCTCAGGGTCTCATCATAGGATATTGGGTCTTGCTAAATAACAGAGCCTTCTCCCAAGAAAGAAACTTAACTGCTCAGTATTTTAATAGAAAATGTTTGACATGTTGGAATAATGACCCAATACAACTTCAGAAGCATTTCTTTACCTGGTCTGTTTCCAAATAATAAAGAATAACATCACACAGAAAAATATTTAAGCACATTTTCCTATACATTAAATACAACAATCCCACTTTTTTTTTAAACATGACAATTTTTTTTTTTTAATATATCTTTATTGATTTCAGAGAGAAGAAAGGAGAGGGAGAGAGAGAGAGACAGAAACATCAATGATGAGAGAGTCATTGATCAGCTGCCTCCTGCATGCCCCTGACTGGGGATCAAGCCCACAACCTGGGCATGTGCCCTGACCGGGAATCAAACCCCGATCGCCTGGATCCTAGGTTGATGCTCAACCGCTGAGCCACGCCCGGCCGGGCAATAATCCCACTTTTAAACCGTCAGGCTATATATGCATTTTAACCTAACTTCTTCTGCAGTAACCACTTTTCATTCTCTGAGTTAATCAGTACATGCAGATTTGAGAAGCAAAAATATATGGGAAAAAAAACATCCATAACTAATCCAAAGAAACAGCATATGAGTTTCAGCAGTAAGGAGCCAATCTCAACTGAAAGCCCACAAATAAAGAAAATAATGAAAACACGTCAGCGTAAAGAAACTACATCTGGCATGACAACAAATAAACTTTCCTCTTACATGTAAGAGATATTCTTGCCAGTTATAAATTTGATAATGTCATATGGACCTATAAGTAGAAGTAATACTGAAACACAGAAACATGAGAACTACAGATAAGTATAACAGCTAGATATTGTTCTAAGCACTTTATAATTTAACTCCTTTAATCTTTAAAAAAAACCCTATTTGGTAGGCATTATTATCCCCCGTCTTACAGGTGAGGAAACTAAGGCACAGAGAGGGTAGCAAACTTGTGTGCTAACACAGCTGGTGAATGGTAAAACTTGGGTTTGAAACCAGGAAGTTTGGCTATGGAGTCCATGATCTTAGGTAAAAGTTAGGGTCAAAATTAAACACAAAAAAAGTATTAATATAGAACTTGGGGGAAAAACACAGAAGTAATTTCCTTTCTTTCATTCATAAAAATTCAATTCAATATTGGATATAAGAATAGAAAAGAAAATCAACCATAAATTTAAAGTGACAAAATTCTGTCAGAGCAAAAATAATTAAGACTTTTTCTTTAAGAGACCATAGAGTAAGGAAAAAAAGAGCTGCAATTAATAATAAAACTCTAAAATGTTCCCATTAATCAAAATTCAAATGAGTCAATATACAATGAGCAAACTTTAAACCAGGCACTGTATCAATATTAGCTGAACTTTCACGGACACTATGCGGATCCCTCTGCATATTCGGTGTTATGAGGTATAGCCCTCAAAATGCCATTCACAGAAGAACAGATAAACAATTGTGGAATGTTTATAAAATGGAACTTTATTCAACAATGAAAAACAACCACTGCTATAGGCCACATGTTTGAATATTAGAAATGTACTGTTGAACGTGAGAAACCAAGGTAGAAAAGTGTATAAACCACAAGACTCAATTTTTATCAAGTTCAAAAACAAGCAAAGCTAATCTACGATTTTAAATGTCAAGATGGAACTGACCTTTGGGAAAGAGGGAAGAAATAGTGAATTAGAAAAAGTGACTTTTTCTGAACGGTAGTGATGTTCGATTTTGTGTCCTGGATGGTGGGTGGAAATTCATCAAACTGTAGTACAGGTTTCTATTTGTATATATTTCAATATTTATTTTAAAAAGAGAATAAAATAATGCAAACTGAGGACCTTGCTTGAAATCTGACTTGAAGAAACCAACTGTAAAAAATACATTAATTTGGGCTCTATATTAGATAAAACCAAAGAGTTATTGTATTTGGTACATTTATCGTATTATGGTTGTATTTTTAGAAATGGGTATGTATGGGTGAAATTATATGATGTCTGGAAATGGTTTAATAATATTTTTACTAAAGAAAAATAAGGGGTAGGTGAAACAAGTACAGTAAAACCTTGGTAATTATTGAACCTGGGAAAACAATACATGAGAATTCACTGACTATTCTCTTCAGATTTATAAATGTTTGAAAATTTTCACAACTAAAAGAAAAAAAATCCTCCTAAGATTTAATCATCTGATCTTACAGATGATGAAACTGAGGCTCATGGAAGTAAAGAAATTTGCCCAAACTCACATTTAGCCATTGGTAGACCTGGGGTTCACATTCTAGTCTGTCTCACCCCAAGTTTCAAATGCTTACCCACCACA